TAGAATAACATACCAGACTCACAGTAGGCGGGGACTCTGTGAGGACCGGGAGGAGGCTGCGCTCCCCCTGAAGAGCCAGCGCAAGTCGCTAAAGTTCCAGCCATCAATATCTGTGAACAAATTCATATTAATAACAACATTTATAAATTCAAAGAAGATCATAATATTAGAATGAAATCTGAGAAAAAGGACAAAGATTACTATACTGTAGTTCTACTCATCGTCGCTGCTACATTGTTGATTGTCGCCATCATCATTTATGTCATCATTGTCTTCAGATTCGATGACTTCCTCTTCAACGTACTCCTCTAAAGTTTCATCGTCTTCATCATTAATAAAATCATCAACTACGGGAGACTTATCTTTCATAATTACATCAACATCGGAAGTGACAACATTAGACGATCCATCATCTCGATTCAATACAAATGAGTCAATCTCTGGTAGTTTCACTACTAACTCAATATTTATAGATTCTGTATCCTGGATTATCATCACGTCATCAATGTCAGTTTCTGAGATGTCCCAAATATGGCGATGTCTAAAGTGTTCTACAACCTTCCAGTTTGGACCGTTAAATAAATCGTCTACGTAAAAAACTTGTTCTGCTTGCGATGCACGTATAAAAGGTTCGTTCTCGTACCACGTCTCTTTAATAAAAACACTTATTATATTTTTGTAGTGTTGAATCATTTTCTTTCCCGGACGAGTGTCAAACCACAGACATTTAAAAAGCATAACAGAATTGTCATTCAAGTACGACAGCTCATAAATGTCCTCCAAAACTCCATAAAACATTTGGTTATCAGGTCCGCGAACACAAACACCACTATTTTGAGTACTTCGATTCATATCCCGATTGCCTATCAGAAACTTTACACCGTTGACCACACAACCAGGATAACTTCGACATGAGAACCTTGAACCACTTGAAAGTGAAAGTATTTGATCATTCGCTTCTGGCTCATTATGCTTTCGAATATTGAAAATCTGCAATGAGATATGAATATTCTTTAAAACGCAACTTTTTAATGACTTAACAATGTTAATGCAAATTAATTATAAACGTACCTTATTCTTAAACCATTTTGGAAACTCTTTCGATTGAATTTCATCCAATGGTATGATTCGACCGTTGGTATCAATCTCCTTCCTATGGTCACTGTTTAACAGAGAATGAAAGTAAATGACATAATTGTATGCGATGTGACACAATCAATGAACAATTAAGTGACAAAAGTGAAAGTAATACGTACTCAATGAACTGCTGAATTTCTAAACAGTTCTATAGGACGTACCACTCGGCTTTCTCTCGCAAACGAGTATCTAATGTGACGGGGGTCATCTTCCCAATTGGCCGACAACGAGTATCAAATACATAAAGCTTTTTAACAATACGATCTTCATCGTCTATCCAATTTCTGGCCAGCCGGTTAAACCGTGTTTCAACTCCAGTTAAATACAACGAACAAAAAGTCAGAGCTTCGTTGACAATGTAAGCCTCAACAATCGAACCCTCAGGACGTGCACGATTCTTGACATATTTCTTTAACGACCCAAGAAAACGTTCAACCGGATACATCCATCTTAAGTGAACCGGTCCTCCTCGAATGGCTTCTTCAGGCAAGTGTATAACTAAATGTACCATTATGTCAAAAAAGGCAGGAGGAAAAATTGTTTCTAACTTGCATAAAATAAGCACAATATCTTGTTGAGCTTTCTCTAAATCCCTTTTCCGCAATGTCTTTGAGCATATTAACTCAAAAAAATTACTTAATTCTGTTATTGCATCAACGATCTCTTTCTTCATGAATGGTCGTATCCCCGTTGGCACTAATCGCTGCATTATGATGTGACAGTCATGCGATTTTAGCCCAGTAATTTTATTCTTCCCTTCGATCACATTTTTCTTTAAGTTTGAAGCAAATCCATCAGGAAACCTTACTGATTTTAAAAAAACACAAAACTTTTTACTGCCGTCGGGGGATAGTGTATAAGACGCATGTGGTTTCATCCAACGATCACCATCTTTGTACAAATGCAACTCCTTGCGCACCCCCATATTTTGCAGATCGATTCTCACCTTATCCGTATCTTTACTTTTTCCATCAATGTCAAGAATTGTGCCCAATAAACTGTCGCATACATTCGTCTCAATATGCATGACATCTAAGTTGTGATGTAACGATAATGACTTCCAATAAAGCAACTCCCAAAAGATACTCTTCTTTGTCCAATTAAGCTCACTTGCATGTCTTTTCCGCTTCTTCCCACCATACTTGTCATGTTTACCAGGCAATCTGACGGACACATTTTGTAGTTGAGCTAAGATTTGGTGAACAGATTTTCGAGCCGGAGGAGGTCGTTTCTCAACCATACCATCAAACTTTTTATTTTTTCGCATCCCATGTTTAATAGGAAGCCATCGCCGATGGCCAACGAAACAAGTCTTACTTGTTATCCTCTTTGAAGGAGTTGCATCGTTGCAAGTTGGGCATGCTAAATAGCCCTGACCACTCCATCTAGATAAACTACTACGAGCAGAAAAATCATTAACAGTCATAAGCAACATAGCTCGCATCTGAAATGATGTATTCAAAACTGCGTCACGTACAATTACTCCATTATTTCACAAATCTTTTAACTCATCCACAAGAGGCCTTAAAAAAACATCCATATCCTTTCCGGGTGCATTTGGGCCAGGAATCAACAATGTCAACATCTTATAAGGATCTTTAGTGCATAACCACGGAGGTAAATTGTAGGCCGTTAAAACCACCGGCCACATACTGTATGAGAGGCTCATGTTACCGAAAGGATTGAAACCATCAGCGGCCAACCCCAAGCGAACATTTCTCGGCTCACATGAAAACTCAGGATATTTTTCATCTATCTCCTTCCATTCAATACCATCGACTGGATGACACATTAAATCCTCATCATTTGAACGCCCACGCTGGTGCCACGCCATATCTTTAGTTGTGTGACGAGAACCGTACAGATGCTTCAACCGATCTGTTAACGGGAAATAACGTAGTACTTTTCACGGGACTTGTTTAGTACCCTTTGTCTTTTTTTTCTTCCAACGTGATGTTTTACATACAGGACACGTTTGTAGATCAACGTTCTCCTTCCAAAACAAAGCACAATTGTACTTGCAGACATGAATTGTTTCGTAACCCAATCCAAGTTTACTCATGAGCTTCTTCGACTCATAATGAGAAGAAGGTAACTTCACATCCGGAAATGCATCTTTCAATAGACATAAAACAACATCCATACACTCATTAGGCCACTTGTATAACACTTTTAAATGCATCAATTTCACTAAGAAATTTAAAGATGAATACTTAGTACAGCCCGGATACAATCTCACCTGGAGTTCAGAAAGTAGATCCTTAAATTAAGCGTATTGTGCATCTTCTAGATCCACATGCGTCTCATCCAACATTCCATGGTCATCATTAATCCCGGCAACGTCTTCTAAGACTGCAAACATCTCGTCTACTGGTTGATTAACTATTGGATCTACACCTGAAACCGCCTCTACTTCACCATGGTGAATCCATGTTCTATACAATGGATCAAAACCATATCGATGTATATACGCCCTCACAGTTTCTACTGGATGCATTTCATGGTTCCTACATTTCATACAAGGACAGTTGATATGGCCAATTGAAGTTGCATAATTTTTGGCGACCTCAATAAAAGCAGATAACCCATTCCAATATTCATCCGACAATCGGTTCCTCAAAGAAGTCTAACTTTTGTCAATCGGCATTTCAACTATAAACGACAATAGACATAACAATTTATTAATGTGTTCAATTAATTTTAATTTTATTCTTAATTAACACAATTAAGTTTTATTAATTAAATTATGTTAATGAACTTATTAAAATTCTGGTTTCCTAACTAAATTTCGGCAGCATAACGACTTATTTTTCACATAATCCAAAAATCAAAACCTGCAGAAAAACAACTTTAAAAGATTTCGGCACACCATAGTTGCAAGATGTGCCACCCAGAACAAGAATCATAAACATATACTAAATTTCAACATAATCCCGAATTCATACAACTACTACAATTTTAAGCTAAATAAATATAAAAAACTTACAAAGTTCAAACCCACTAAACGGGGGCTGAAAATAGAAAGATTATGTCGGAAGAACCGTGCAAACAAGGACGAAGGTGAAAAATCAAACGCCTACATCAAATTAAAACATCAAACATAATTTTCAAACACCAAAATTAATATTTTATTAACATCTAGAGAAACATATAAACACAATAATAAGTATAATGATTCTAAGTTATGAATATAATCTAGTCATCTAATTCTAAATTCTACTCATCTAGTTCTAAGTATAATGCGTAGGAAATGATTTTAAGTTCTAAGTATAATCTAGTTATAATAGCAAGTATAATGCTTAAGAAAAAAAAAGAACAATATTGTTAAGAAATAAAAAAAAAGAAAAAGAAAAACACCTGTGACCAGGCGGCGTGACTGGGGCGGCGCGACCGGGGAGGTGGGACCGGGGCGGCAGGAGCAGGGCGCCCGGAGCATGGTGGCGGGACCAGGTCACCGGGAGGGAGCCGGTGGTAGTGCGGCGGCGGTGCCAGGAAAGGGAAAGAAGAGGGAGAGAGAAGGGAAGAGAGAGAAACAATGGAAGAGTGACAAGGGGAGAGAGGGAAGGGGAGGGCCGGCCGGCGGCAGGGGGCGGCGGCGGTGGCGG